AGTCTAGATTCTTTATTTGTTATGTAAAGGTGGTTGGTACAGGGTTCAGGTTCTCTCAGTTTTAATTTGGAGGGAACTGGTGGCTTCAGATCAGCTATTCAGGAGTACCCACAGAAGCCCAATTCAGGTTCCAAGTCAGGTACACTCAGGCTTCCTTCACCATGTGGAGGCAGGATCTGGGTGCTCTCAAGCCTCTCAGGCTGTCTGCTAGGATCTCAGCCTTAGCCTACCAAAGCCAGATCTGCCCTGGGGCCTTGGGAGAGGCCTCATGAAATCCCAGGTTGGGGGATGGGGATGGTACAATTAGGGGACCCTCACCACCATGTGGAGGGAGGATCTGGGGGCTCTCAGGCAGTCCCCTGCATCCTCAGCCCCTCTGTCAGAGAGAGGCCAGAGGGAGGTCCAAACTGGGCACTCTCTGGTGGTCTGCTGAGCTCAGAGCTGCTACACTGAGGGAGGTTAAAACCCACCCTTTCAGGCTGTCTGCTAGGATCTCAGCTTTAGCCTACCATGATAAAATATTTTTTTAAAAACCCAAACAAGGCTCTAAAAGTAGACACTAGATATGGGTTGGATCAGATCAACAAGAGCCACTTGCATGTTACCACACACCCTGAATGGTTTATGGGTACAGAGAAGAGAAGTGGGAAGGCCACAGAAAACATAGTAAAGAGAAAAAACCAATGAGAAAGAACTTGAAGTGGTCAATACAGTGGCGCTTCCCTATCATAGCAAAAGCTGTAGAAAAGGAACACAAGAAGAAATGCAGAACGAAGACAGCAGCAGATGGTACAAGTGGTGCTGAGGTACCTCCCTTGGCATTGTGGGCACTATATCCACTTAGAACTGTCAGCAGACGTGTGAGGCAGATGTTATGTATTCACCAGGTCACTGATGAGACCACTAAAGCCACCTTGGGCTAAATGACTAGCCGAAGTTTACATCATAAGCAATGGAGCATGCAGGGGTTCCCATACCAACTAATGAGAGGAACCTACAATTTTCATGCACCAAGCCATCTCTAGGAAAAGGTAACATGCTGTCCTTTAAAGGTATGGATGCCTCTAAAGACAACCACAGGCACTACACACACAGAGACTGTGTACAACCCAAATGTACTACTCTGGGAATTAAAGGGTGTTGTAAGTACAGTTGTGCAGGAGATTGACTCTTGACAATCTGAGAGCAAATTTTTTTTTTCAGAAGTTTATCAAGATTCAAGTATAATCAGGAAGCACTCTTGGAGAAAGAGGCGTAGAGTAAATATTTTAGTAAAGCAAAGTATTCTTTTGTGATGTAACTAATCACTCCATAGTCCTTATGTTATAAATGTTTGGCTTTTCCTTCAATAGATTTTCTTAGAACACAGCATATTTTAAATTTATGATGTGTTTTTAAAAGACATATCTACACTATATTACCCAGCCTTGGAAAGGAATAAACAAGATTAAAAAGTGCTATAGAATGAACAAATGAAGGAAAGGCTTTTAGTTAACTGTCTTTCACTTTATAACTCACATTATTTATTTTTTGTGTATACAAGTCTCTGTGTGTGGGTATGTGTGTATGTGTGTGTGGTGGCACACATGTGGAGGTCAGAGGACAAGTTGTGGGAATTGGCTCTCTCCTCTCATATTGTGGGTTCCAGGAACAGAACTCAGGTCAGGCACGGCAGCAAGTGCCTTAACCCACTGAGCCATCTTGCTGGCTCCATCTTTTTTTTTTTGAGTAAGTCTGTGATATTCAAAAATCATTAATTTCTATAATTAGCATTTCTGTAACAGCATTACAGGAATTGGTCCAAGGCAATCACATGAGCACTTGTGTCCCCTTACCAGTTTATCTTCTCAGTAATTCACTTTCATTATGATCAAAAAGAATAGTGTTACCCAAAGAGGTCAAGACAACAGGAAATCAGAGAGAGTAACAATAGAACTCAATCCCCATGTTGAATTCACTAACAAAATAAAACACACTTTTGCTAGAATAGCATGGAGTAAAATTCTTATTTGTAATTTTTTCTGACTATTAATGAATAGGGAATTAAGAAATAAAATTCTCTTAGAGCAAAGTGATCAACTCTGTCCAACCATCTGCCAACTTCTACTTTACAACAAATAGTATGAACCAATCTGCCCAAAAGCTGTTACACAGAAAATCACGAACATGAAAAAATAAGACAGCTCAGAACTGGCCTATCAAAAGAAACGCAAATAAAAATATCTCACTCAACAAACAGTACCAGTTTGTTGTGTGCCAAATATTCAACCTTTTAGAGAATGAAACTTCAGGTATGGATGGCTCCAAAACAGGATCAGGTTACAGTAACCGAAACTGAAGTCCAACTTCAAAGTGTAGATGTAAGAGTCCAAAGAAGTTCTACTGAATTAAAAACTATTTCCAAAGATCCATCTAAAAAATACTTGCCTAGAAGTTCACAGGTAAGTTTACAGGAACTTATTGTGGTGGAAGATAAACACCACATCCCAGAATATGATCAGTTTGTAGCTTGTAGCAACTCTACTTCTATCAGAATACTGACATCACAAATATTAAATACTGACTGAACATTAAGGAGACTGGCAGATGCTTACTGTTAACTTCAATAAGGACACAAGCACCAACTGCCAATCCTTATGTCTTACAAGCAGAACAATTCTGTAGTACCTCCAACTGAGTCTTCAACAAGTTCAGTAACTTAAAAAAATTAAAGTAAAAACGTAATAAGACTCAATGAATTTGATTATTTTGTTAAATCTGCCCCAAAGTTATAGAAACCAGACTAAAAATGTTCTGATCTCCCTTCTTTCTCCAGATCTACCAAACACAAGGAGCTACTGGAGGACATTTTCAAGATACCTATGACCGAACTATAAGCCCTTTAGTTAAGAAGCACAACTTGAGGGGCAGGTACTGAAAGTGTATTTTTAGGAGGGAAATCCACAACTTGAATCTGCAACTTACTTTCTCTGGAAGCTGAGATTCAACTTCTTTCTTCAGTCTCCTCAGGAGAAATGGTCTCAAGACCTTATGTAGACGCCTGATGATCAGTATGGTTTCCTCTTCATTTAAGTCCACCTACAAAAGGACCTGGGGTGAATTTTTGTAGGATGTTTCACACATTAAGGTCTGCGTTACCACTCAGTGTTTGTTTCTATATATGACTAAAATTTCACATGCATTAAAGCCAGGTCTGTGCAGACATTTACACCTCCAGATCCTCTTCCCACCTACCCTTTGCGTGGGAATAAAATGGCCTCTAAATGAGTCTCTTTGTCTTAATGCCTAGTTCTGTGAAAAAGGGCCCAGAACTAAGTTTCAGATTAGTGGTGTTAACAGCCCAGCTTTACAGAATACTGATGGTAGTAAAGACTGACCAAAGATGGACAAAGAATGGAAGAGGGGACACTAGCTCAGTGTGTTCCTACTTTCGCTGATGCCATACGCTAGCCCTTTGCTTTGGTTTAAAAGGGGGGCTTAAAAGTGAAATTCAATGGGTCTCTAAGCTCCTTTACTTCTCTCTCCGCAAATCTTGGTCAAATGTAGTCCTATTTTATAAAATTCCTTACTTCTTTGTTCATTTTCCTCTACTAGCCTCTAGGGGGCAGAATTAATTGACACTGCTTTCTGCAAATGAGTAAGTCAATTACTCAACTGCATAGGAAGGTAAATGTGCCTCAAGATTAAAGGGCCAAGCGTTCAAAGATAATTTTTCCTAAAGCATATTTAGTGGCTTTTTACTCCTATAGTTAGGAAACCAGTAATTAAAATGGCATGCACCCACTTTTGTTTTGTTTTGTTTTCTCGCACTGGCCCATGCTTTCCTTTCATGAGCTCAGAAAGAAGACAGCTGAAGGAATAAGAATAATACATTTGAAAATGGTTATTCCAGGATTTGAGAAGTATGAATGTATAGGCAAAATGGAGTCTTATACTAAAACCTCAAAAAATTGTGCAGAAAATTAACGTTTTACATACAAATTCTACATGGAATTACTTCAAAGGGAAGCCTCAGGTCTATAACAAGGAAAGATTTTTGTGTCTGTATTCAGTTGGTTGAGTTGGTCTGGTTAAATTAATTAAGCAAACATCTTCCCTGTGGCTCACTATGGTTGAGCACTCTACCAGTCAGGGAAAAGTTGGCCAAAGGCAAAGGCCTGGGATGCCCCACTCGCATCTAGATTCAAAGGAGAAAATAATTCCAAATGAGACCATGTCTATCCACTGAACAAACAGCATTAACCAAACCCAACTCTGTGAGGTTTCTGTGGCTCTCTTGTTGTAAGCTTTATACCCTCTGACTTCATTTCACCATCACACAGTGGGGAAAAGTAAAAAGAAAAGTTTGACCAGTACCCTTTCGCCAGTCATGGCAAATGGCGCATTAAACCACTGCTCGAATGTGCTGCAGCTCTTAAAAATTGTGGGGAGGAGAAAGTTGAGCAGGGCCCAGAGTTCAGGGAGCTTGTTCTGTAGTGGGGTCCCCGTCAAGAGGATTCTTCTAGGGGCCACATAGTGTGTGTTCAAGACCTGAGTCAACTTGCAGTGGTGATTCTTCATTCGGTGCCCTTCATCCACTATCATGTATTTCCACCGAATCTGTAATACAAGAGGAAGAACAAACATGTAGTGAGAAAAGGAAAACACAGTGGCTTCCAAAGGGCTGGGCGGGGGTGGCATGGAAAACCAAACACCCAGCTTAGTACATGATATGGCATGCTACTCCATAAAACAAAAGAATCTCAACCAATGGAATATTTCCCATGCCTGACAGATCATGTTCAAACAACAATGATTCCCAGAGACAGGATTCCAAACTGTCTTCTAGAAACAACAAAACAGGCCCAGAATGAAACATCCACTCCTGATTCTAGACATGGCCTCTTTCCAATGGCCCTATTGCTACTGTGTCACAGCAGTTCTTCCAGAGTTTCTGGCCATCCTACTCTACTCATAGCAGGGACAGAATACACACGGGCTCCTGAAGCAGACACTTTACAAGACGGCACTAGCAGGATACTATTACTGATGGCCTCCTGCCTCCTGCCCTTTTTCCCATTATACCAGCTGTCTATGACCTTTAGGGCATGGCTCAGTTTGGGATTTGTTTTATTTATCTTTTAACTGATTGCTAACATTGGAAAGTTGGAATTCTTCACACAAAAATCAGAACATTCAGCTTCTTTTTAAAGAATTATGTCAAATTAGCAGGCTTCCTCAATTCCTGCATATTCTTCATCTTCCAGGTCAAGGACCCCTGTTCTATTCAAAAGGAAAACGTGCTCACTGGCTGCAGATATGTGAAACAAAATACCATTCCTCCACCTGTGCCAAACTGCAGAACTAAACTCAGCAAACTCCCCAACACAACTAATACTTAAAAAGGCAGGGTGCACATGCATAATATAATCCTCCTCCTGAAGGCGATGGGTCCTTTCCCCTCTAGCACCCTCCCTCTTAGCCTTTCAAGGTTACTGCTCCATTTCTTAAAGTGGGAACAAGGAGTATTGCTCCGTTAAGCCTATGTGTCGGCCTATACAAAGGTGGCAGTGGTTAAAAACAGTGCTGTCAGATGTCCCCAGACCCTGGTCCAAAACTCACAGAAAGCAGATAAGCAAGTATGATACAATTCTCTCGACTTTTCTTAGAAGCACTAGTGAAGACAGAGAAAACAACTACAATCATCAGTCAAAAGGGGATGTACAGATAAAAGAAACTACCAGAATTTTCTCCCTTTTCTCCATCACCTCTAAGAAAAGTGCCTAAGAAAGATCAATGTCATACAATCAACTTCCCAACAACAGGAAAACAGGACCACAGATAAAAATGCATTTACATAAATATCCTAAGTCTACTTTCTTGATTAATTTAACTTATGAAACAGCAAGGAACCAGAGACCTTTGATTTTACTACTAATTAGGTCTTCCATTTGCAAAATATTACTACCCCTTTCTAGAGTTCCATTTGTCCAATAACAAACAAAAGCCCTAGATCTCGTTACTAGACGTCTCCAGTGAATTTTGAAATACATATGGAGAAGATACAGTATGATTTTTTTAAAGGATCTCAAATGTACAAACACATTCCCATAGTAATATTGGAGACACGTCATTTTTGACACTGCCAAATTCATCTTCGAGCATGAGGCGCTGGAACACAGTGCTGCTGTCAGTGCCATCTCAATTATTAAGCCTCCCCCGGGCACATGCTTCCTTTATGTTATTTCCTATGATACCATGGAGGGAACTCTCAGTTCCCAGAGCAAAGGTTTAATGCTGAGATAGAACAAACCCCAGAAATAGGGATTATGTTCAATTCTGACCATAACTTAGTTTTAGATTATAGTGGTTTCAAAACACCACAGGGTAAAAGAAATTACCAAGGCAAAAAAATTAAGTTTTCATCATTTGTTCCATGAAAGATGGTACTCCCATCTTTCTGTGTGAACATATTAGGAGGCAACATGATAAAAGTGGAAAGAAAACCCTCTCATTTTTGGCTAAAGGACAACTTCACATACACATATGGAGACATGCAGGTCACAGACACAAGTCTTTCTCAACTCCAAATAGTCACAAGAACAGCCCTGAGTAATTTGAACAATGATTGTCCATTATTTTACCAGAAAAAAAACCCTGAAAACAGATATAGCACGCAAGCCTCAGCTTGGATAAATGCTCACATGGAGGAGACCATATGGAGGGGCACCTACTTCTATTCAGAGAGAGACACACAAGAGGAATGAAGTCGTGCTGACAATAACCCAGGGCAACAAAAACAATTATTTCTTTCCAAGCACATTCAAGGCTGCTGGAGAGAAAAGTTGCAGAAGGAGCCCAGGTGAATTTTCTTAAAAGATGTGAACTCTTTAACTACAAATGGTCAGGGAGGAGTCCAAGATGAATCTGTCTGTTGGTCTATCTGTCTCTGTCTCTGCCTCTCTCTCTCTCTCTCTCTCTCTCTCTCTCTCTCACACACACACACACACACACACATACATACACACACACAAAACATTAAAACCCATGACCAAGATTTCAGAGAAAAAGAAAAGAAGAGAAAGAAATCAGTCATCCAAGATCAAATTATACTATTGAGTATAATTTGGGGAATACTTTATACTTTACACCAGTGAGATGATCCATAATTAGAGATAAAAGAATTTTTTTCTGAAAACATACCTTTGCTAGAATGTGCTTATCTTTTATAATGTACTCATAAGTAGTCAGGAGGACATTGAATTTGCCACTGCGGAGCTGGGGGACAAGGGACCGGCGCATAGCAGGAGTCCCCTGAATGGAAAGAAAAATGCAGACATTATCCAATGTTCGAGAAGCATGGGTGCTATTTCACACTGTTCATCACTTGATGGAACCTAGACAGGTGACATACATACACATATATGCATCATTATATACTGATCTATTCTCCAGGAAAAAAGTGGTAGCTAAACCACACGTATCTCGATCCTGTCTGGATCCTTATAGGAAGGTTTCCCACTTAAGACAGAGGGAGGGAGAGAAGGAAATTACAGTGAGCATGCTGTAGTGGCGAACCCGCTGCTCAGCTGAAAGGCTTCCTTTCTGTGGGAGCAGGCAGCAGGCAGACTCAGTGCCCTGGTAATTGCCTGACTTTGCTGGAACGTTCGGCACAGTAGCAGCCCATAGTGAGCCAGTCAGCAGCGCACAATGTGTGATATTTGTCATTTGTATTACTCTCATCAGAAACCTCGCAATATGATAATTAACAATTTTCTTCTGCATTTCACTATCTGAAAGTAATTATGGTTTATTACAGTAATCTTCTTGGGATGATTAACTCTCACTGTTTAGAACATGATGTACATGACAAAACTTTACAACCAAATACAGTTCACAGATGTGCATACGGAATGAAGAAAATACGATCTATATATATATATATATATATTTTGCTTCACATTTTCACCACAGAAGGAGCCCATTTGTCAAATTCGTATGTCCAGTTAGATAGAGTCCTACAAAACAAGACATTTATATAAAAGTCAATGACTAAAACGATGTCATTCATTTCAGAACTTCTTAAAGGAACTAGACAATGTAAAATCGCTCAAATACATATTTCCTTCAAAGGTATGAAGATAAGAGCTGTTAGAAACAAGCTGACTCAAAGCAACTTTGGTTTTCATTTAAAACATTTCATAAGAAATTTAAAGTCTAGAAATACAAGAAGCAAAAATCCTGAATTTTCATATGGTTCTAAAAATCAGCAATTATCACATGATTTGAGACATATTTATAACTAGCCATGCAAGTTCGGAGAAAATGTGAATCAGAAAAAGAAATTCTGAAACTACATGAAAATAGTAAACACATCTTCCAAGAGGAAGCATGGGAAGAAATGCTGAATGGTTTTTCTAGTCCTAAAAAGCATCATCACAATATGCAAGTCAGAATACAGATCAAATGCAAGGAGCATGCACTTACTATGGAGACAGATGTTCATACAGAGAGGTCTGCACATAGTTCTTATTTAGAAAAAAAGAACTTAAGAGAATACAAAACAAAAATCCTGATTCTCACTCCAGGTCCGAGTCTGTCTCATATTGAGACCCAAGGCAAGATCCCAGTGGTTCAAGCTACAGCCTGATACCCACAGACAGGCACACTGCACTCCCAGGGAGGGTGCTGGAACAGTTATTCCCTTACTTAGGAGCGTTGACTAGAGACCTGGGGGAGCTACCCACTGGGCAAGGCACAGGAGATGTGTTGGAAACAGCAAACACTGGCCCTTCCACAGCAGCAAGCTATTGAACTATGAAGTGTACATAGTGAGTTTTCTCTAATGCAGAGTTCACAGCAGTGATTTTTGGTATTTACTCTGCTTTAAAAGGCACAATAAGGAAGATATCTGTGCAAAACTATAATCTTTTGATTTTAAATGTGTGTGTTTAGAAATGGAACAAGGAAAAATTTCCTAGAAATCTTAAAAATGCCCACATCTTTCCCTTTTGCAAGCTAACTGAAGTGGGATGAGAGACCACAATGTTGTTAATGGCTGATAAGAAGCATTCAATTGGTTACTTTACTAGCTGGTCAAGAAGGCTGCAGTGGGGTAGGCTGGGGTGGGAAATTAAACTAACGCACAGATTACACACTCCTGGTAATCTTACTTCACAAGCTACGATCCTGTCTGAAGTGAGAAATAAGGACAAGCCACTAATAGGGCCATCTACAACACACAGAACGTGACTGCGGAATAAATTACTTTACTTACGAGAGGGGAACAATGATGAGATAGGGGCCATTGAGTCTTTTGTGCTCCATCAGATAGGTGATGAGTGCAATGGTCTGGATGGTCTTGCCTAGCCCCATTTCATCAGCTAAGATTCCGTTCAAATTGTTATTATACAGGGAAACCATCCATTCCAGGCCCTGGAGCTGAAATGAAGAGCAATTGCTTCAATTATCCAAGATCTGCACAGGTAATTAATACTAATACAACTCAAGTGAGGCTGTGACTTCTTAACTTCTCAGTGCTGTACACTGGGTTTCCCACAGCAGCAAAGTCGGGAAGCACCAACGCAAAAGGAATTTAAAAGATGAGCCTGTAATCGCCCCTGCTGCTTGGCAGGTGCTGAGTGTTAATCAGATTTAGAAATGATGGGCTGGAGCGTGCTGGTGGGATTTGAAGCAGCTTTGCTGCTCATCCGTACTTAGCATTTCACAGTAGATGACGTTGTAGAATTATTATAAATGAAGAAAACCTAAAACACTCCAGGAACAAAAAGCCAATGCAAGGATTAAAGACAAACCAGAAGGCAGGGTTGGCACACAGACCATTGATCGTCAGAAACTGCTTTCTTGATCATAAACAGCCTGCCCTAGGGTGCCATCCCCATGGTGAGGAAGCCTGTGGCTAGGGAACCAGGGCCACTCTGCTGGACCCTGGGAGGACATTTCTCTTTTTGGCAGAGAAAGTCCCCAGGCAACACATGGAAACTGTGTGATGTGGGCACTTCCCAAGGGCAGCTCACTGGAAGCTGACTGCCTGGAACATGTGCAATGGATTTTCAAAGCACAGAGTGATGCACTGGAGCAATCCCAGCTTTGGATCCCTCATTTTAAGAGCATAAAAGAAAAGTGAGAAGTGAGTTGAGGATACAAAGTTCTTAAACCTCTTTCCTCTAGTTCCCTCGCACTCCACACTGTAATGCTGGGTTTAAATATGGGATCAATTACATCAATTACATGTTGTGTGTGTGTAAAACATATATGTATGTATATGGTAATTAGCTTGCTCATGAAGTCATGCTTAGAAAAATATTGTGATCATGTACTTAAAATGCTTATTAAACAACTCTTCTTTATAAAGAATGATACAAGGAGCCACAGGATATGGGCACCAAGGTAGACATACACATCCTCAGAAGCTTACAGCCAAAGGGAAAGCAGTAAACTGGCACACATACCCATTACCAAGAAGTAGTTGACAATGCCAATGTATGGATGTAAACTCACACTGGTCACAATTTTTCTTAGAGAAACTGTGATGATTTGAAGACTTTCATAAGTCACACAGAAGACCCTGGACAACACCCATATCGTCCTAAAGAATTTTTCAGAAGAGCAACACAAAGAGGTAAGGAGAGAAACAGGAAAAGTGTCCAAGAGAATGGGTTGCAAGGGGGAGGACAGGGACCAACAAGAGGGGGACGGACACAGTAGGAGCAAGCAGTGGGTCGAGGGATGGGGATCAGTTCAAAGTTATGCTTGACTATGTAGCAAGCTCAAGGCCAATGTGGCCTACTTGAAACCCTGGCTCAAAAACTAAGAAAGTGTGTATGGAAATACCCTAAGGAAGCCCATTATTCTGTATGCTAATTTAAAAACAAGTTTCCAAAAAGAGAGAGGAGAGTCAGGTGTGGTGGTGCATGACTTCTAATCCCAGCACTGGGGAGGCAGAGGCAGGCAGTTATCTGTGAGATGGATGCCAGCCTGGTCTATATATTCAGTTCCACACCACCAGCTGGGGCTACAGGGGAAAGCTTGTCTCCAAAAAAAAAAAAAAAAAAACCAAAAGATCCAAGAAAAAAAGAGAGGTAAGGAGGATGAGAAGTGGGGAACCACAGGTGGTTGGCAACCTGACCCCAAGACCACCAGCTTTGGGCAAGTCAACTAAATGCCAGAAATATTTGTCTATGTAGCAAAAATGAAATTGGAAAAAAAAATGGTAAAAGGTCAAAGTTTATATTAGTGCTAATCCCAGATAAAATAAAAGCAAAACCAGAGGCAAGAGGGGCTTAGAAATTCACAAAACCTGTGGGAAGAGACTTAGGCTTTCCTGGGTTGTAGACTGAGGCGGGAGACGGTGAATCAAACTATGTGAGTCTCCAGGAAACAGCAAGAAGGCTGCAGTGTGCCATGGTTAAAGCTGTCAAGGAGCCACAGCTTACCTGTGACCACACCATGAACCAGGGAACTCATGAGGCAAATGCAGGTGGACAGACCGCAGGAAGAGGGTCTTGGTCTTCCCTGTCAAAAGCCAGGGGAGACAGGATAGTTCATGTAGAGGAATGGACAGAGCCCAACCAGGGAAAAATAGCACAAATTCACAATTAGAAATAGGTGTAGCTAGGTTTAAAAAGGGAGAGATGAAGAATGCTTAAAAGATGTTGGATGTCAGGAGGAAATCAGAGTGGGACTGAAAGTTATTTAGGAGGGCTGACAAGATGGCTAAGTGGCTAAGGATGCCTGCCACCAAGCCTTATAGCCTGAGTTCAATTCCCAGGACCCACATGAAGGAAGGAGAGAATTGATTCCTGGACATTGTCTTCTGACTTCCACAAGCATCGTTATGTGGCACGTGCACGTTCTCTCTCTCTCTCTCTCTCTCTCTCCAATAAATGTAGCTTAAAAAGGTTATTTATGAATAATTCAGAAATGGGTCTCCCATATACAAATATACCAAAGAACACACTGAATCAATAAACATACCAGGCAGGCCAAATGAGATTGGACCTCTTTAAGGTGGTACAGTCTTACAAAGGACAAAGCAGTGATCAAAGTGTGTTCCAGGGGTTCCAGGAAGATCCCCAAGACATTCACAAGGTCAAAACAACTTTAATAATTCTACCAAAGGCATTACTTGTCATTTTTCCAATATTTCCACCATCATGGATGGAGCCCAAGCAATGGCAGGCAGCAGACGCTGACCCTTTAGAAGAACTCAGGGAGAGTTGTACCAATGGGCACATGCTTCCCTCCCGCTCAATGGCAGAACCATGGGAAGGCGCCTGATCCCAGAAAGTTTGGGACCCGCTGGTCTAAAGCATGCACTTCCCTAAATACAGTCTAGATAGTATGTTTAGAGGATATTGAAAAGTGATAATATAAAAATGTGGCAGGAAGTAGTGTTCAAAAAAACGTGAGGAATACAGAATTCAACCATGCTATTTTACTGCAGGATGCTGACACGCATGATAGATTACGCATTGACTAGTGTAGTCATCAATATGCAGATGTGTATTGTGGATGACTGAGAGGAGTCACTGCCAGGGTGACAATATGGCTGGCTTGGGACAGTTCAGGGTTAGCTGATTATTAATAATAAGAACTGCTATTCGCTCTCACCTGTATTCACATTTGGAAAGGTAAATTACATGATAATTTAGTTACAGAGACTGGCACTTCCTGTATTCATTTGACCCATGAAACCTTATTTTTATTTTACTTTTTGCTTTTTGAGGAAGAACTCATGGAACAAATGTTCCAAGGAACACACCTCAGGTAACCCTGAAGAGAAGTGAGAGGCAGAAGACAGGAGTCACCTCAACCAAGACAGGTCAAAGGGAACAACTGCTCCATTTACAGCCTAGTGTTTAACCAAAGCAAAGGTGCTGACAACTTTATTGTACCTTAAGAAGGCATAAATGCAGCAGATTGGGCTCAGTAGTTGAATCCACAGCATCCAACTATAACTGAGCTAAAGTTTTTAAAGGAAGGCTTTTCCCTTTTCAGACAGCCACAATGAAACTGGTCCAAGCGTTAAGTCTGCATTTCTTATAGTAATAGCATCCCAGAATGAGAGAGGACAAAACTAGTATGGTGCTCTGAAGAGACCGTAACACAAGCCAGTGCTCTGAAGGAGGCTCTAGGCAGTGGGAAGATCACCAGGACTGTTAAGTGACATAAATTAAATGTCTCACTGTCCTCAAAACCTCTTATGAAGTTGACTCGGGCATGACATATGCAAGAGACCAGGGCCTGTCATGGGAGTACAATCATGCCAATTACCTGGTAATGCTTTAGGGTCCCATTAATGAGGAGGGCAGACTGCTTCTCCACCCTCTCTGAGATAGCGTGAGCCACTGTGTAGTAGGACTGAGACCCTCTAGTGCTGTACTGCATGCTGTACTCGTCATCCACGTCTTGTTTGGCAGTCCTGAAGAAGACAAAGTAGAGAAGCCCACGGAAATATTTGAGTCTAAATGTCATTTCATCCAAAATGACTTCAGAGTCTAAAATCACTGCCCAAGTATCACCTGCCTTGTATTTAAAATATATCTCTGCAAACTTCATAAAAATCAAGCAAGGTACACATTACTAATATCAGCTCCACTTGATGCATGGGAAGAACTTGAGGCTCAGAGGTGATCTTCAAAACTGGTAGGGGCCTGAACCATACAGTTGCAGATCAGTACTTGTCAATGAAGGCATTCTAGGCTCTTAGGATGCAAAGATAAATCCTATCCTCAGAACATTGGCTAAACTTGGAGGACACGTAGGAGAGAATTGAAGACACCGAGAGGAGGGGAAGGAAGAAAGGTGCGCTCCTTTCTCTATGCTTTTCTGGGGGTTTTACTCTCCAGGCAGTGAGGAACCATGGCACATCCCTAGAACCTCCGAGAAGGAGCAGGGGCAGACAGAAAACAGAGGCTCCCTAAAGTGGAGCATATGATTATGGAACAGGAAAAATATTAGAATATCCATTTCTTCCTTCTGGAAAATCTGATGTTTCCAAGTCTTCTCTTTTGTATACTGCTTCAGGACAATTCTCCTAGAATACAGTTATACAAGCAAAAATATGTGTAAACCACTGGCAGAATGGGTGGGCTGGAATGGAGTGAGATGTGGGACCAGAGCACCTAGACACAGGGAGTGAAATGGAAGATTGGACCTGGGCAGAGTGGGCACCTAACTTGGCTATGGCAGCCAGGATGAGACAGGAAAGGTGTCTTAAACTTGGCTTTGGGGTATGTAGATGGTCATGAAGGAGGCAAGAAAGGCAAGGAAGCAGCAGATTTGGGGCTGGGGGGGGTGATAATTGATTACTATAATCTGGGATAGAAATGCAAAGGAGGGTGTGAAGCCCAGGAAGGAGACTGAGCTGGAGGATTTAGGAGACAGGGGAAAGAAAGAGGGAGGGAAAGAGATGAGCAGCCCAAAGCTTTTGGACCTGGGGGGCGGGGGCTAGAGCTCAGAAGTGACCTCAGAGGAACTGGAAGGACAGTCTCCACCGGAATTTGAACATGAAATATGTTCCTGTCTTTAAACAAGACTCCCAAACAGAAAATTCACACCATGTGAACCTCAAGCACCGCCTTAGTAAAGAAAACTTCAGAGGGCTACACACTCAATGATCTGCTTAGCATCCTTCTCGGAAACGTCCTCACTGTTGGGATCCAGCAGTATCTTCTCTTCTGTTTCCTGCCTACCAGACTCTTCTTCTTCATCCTGAGGAAAGAACAGAGCACAGGGAAGCCTGTATTTTTATCAAGCAAATTCTGTAATTAGCATATTCTATTAAAAGAATAAATGGTAGTCCACTTCACAAATGAAGCAAGTAAATAAAATTAAGGGAATAAATTTAACATCTGCTTACACTAAGTGATTTGTCAGTCAATGAGAGAGTTAAAGGGACCCTCCAGGGGTCCTTGAGACCCATGTTCCCAAGAAAAAGCATGTAAAAATTGTGCCAGAGAGATGTGTAATTATTTGGTCATTCACAGCAAATATGCACACCATATCTGCTTTCTCTTAGAATTCTGTATCTCTTCCTCCAAAGGCAGATGTTAAAGGTTTAATATCCTTCTCCTGATTCTTCTCCTAATTCTCTCTTGTGCTGGTGAACTCAGTGGTCCCCATGCTTGCTGTAGAGGGCCTGAGATGGGAAGTACACTGCTTTCTGATGCTGCTTCATACCACACATTTCTGAGTATTCAAAAAAAAAAAAAAAAA